AATAGCCAATCAGATTTGAGTATAAATCTCAAAATTTGGCGCTTTTAAAAAAAAATTGGATGTTTCTTGCTGTCCGGCACTGTACCTCTAGATTTTTTAAGGTCCTAGTGTTATTCAACGTTTAAAGTCGGTCTAAGGTTATCGGGTTGTCATACTGAATGTCGTAGAAAAAATTTATTGTCCTTTAATTTATTATTTATTATGTCTCCATGGCATTTTCATTTTGTAAGAAAAGCTTAACAATTTTTATAAATAAAATTTAGAAGACAACTTGAACTTTTATGGTTACCGATTTCCTACGAAGCTGTTTGTTCGCATTTAGAATCAGAATATCAAGAATTTCTTCATTTTTTTCTTCAATTATACACTAAATAAAGTGCATAGTATGAGTAAAGATAATCTGTCTTTCCAATTACATTCACATTCAACAACCAACTTCTTATCTTCCATTTATTGACTAAGTGATACGGCTTAAGTATCAATTTTGAAAAAAGTTTAAAATAAGTCAAGTTTTATTATATAAAAAAAATCATAGTATGTTACATCATGTATATAAAACAATTATTATACAAAAAAAAAACAGCAAGCTATAATAAACCCACAAAAAATTATTACGACATTGGGACCAATGATGTCTGTAATGGGCAGATGATTCTTATAGTAACGATGTCGTTATACGTATAAAATTTACTACATTTTATACTCTAGAATTTGTTATATACAATCAGAGCGAATTTGAGTAAAATTTAGCAAAATATAAGCACCATGGCAATTCTTACTAAAAATGCTAGCCAAAATGAGCAGAGATAAATTTTTTCAACGCTCCATCGAACAACTAGCAATTAAAAGACTCTACCAACTTATTTATAGGATTTTCATCGGAAGAATCAAGCTCTTCTATATATTGATAGCCTAACTCTAAAAGATGAGGAATACTATCATGGTCATCTAAACCTATAGGTTCCTCAAAAAAGATTTGCCATCGTTGATAACGATCTTTTAACTTGGTGTACATTTCACGATCCGTATTACTTTCTTGTGCAGATATCATGAAATTAGGAAGATTTTGTGCCCAAAAAAGTAAATTATATTGATCAGCATTTGAAGGATCTGGTAAATAACATCCTGTACCTAGAGAAAGTACAGAAATCTTTTCCTCTGGCACATTATATCGGATAGCCTCACTATAAGCAGTTGATGCTGGACTATTAAGATGTATCCCTCCATCTATAAAAGTTTTACTACCGATTTTATAAGGTGGAAAAAATGTAGGTGCAGCTGTTGTTGCCATTAACACGTCAGCAAAAGTGTTATTTATCTCATTATTTCCAATATTTTTACAGGCATCATATCTGGTAAATAAATGCGTATAGTTTTCATTTGCAGCAGGAATAACCAATTCAGTAAGAGAATTGCTTAATCTCGCTTCTTCAAAATATTGTTTAAACATAGTAGAACGACCTTCATTTGTATACCTATTATGTACATTTGACCATATAGGTATATTGAACCATGATGTTGATTTAGTGAATAAACTTTTGGTTCCGTTTCTGTAAATATTCAGCAAATCTGATGCTGTGAATATTGGTACTAAATCTGAATATGTGTATACAACACGATCTTCTATCATGTACATAGGTTTGAACTGTTTTGCCGATAATCCTGCTGCAATGATCCCACCAGTCGATGTTCCGGCTATCATATCAAATAAGTGAGCAATAGGTCTATGAGTGCGATATTCTATTTCGCTAAGCCATAAAGCAGGCAATACCCCGCGTATTCCTCCGCCATCAATTGA